GTTTTACCAGCTGCTGATCCTGCCAGTAGATCCATTATTTTCCACTTTCTTTAACAGGGTGACAGTGCAGTGTCATCACCCTTAGTCTTAGATTGACACGTAGTTTTACATTTGGCAAAGAGGAAACCCTGATCTTAATTCTCGCCCAGGCAAGGATTCCCGAAGTGCTGGGAGGGGTCCCAAAGGGAAAAATGCGCAATTCTGAGAGAAATGGGTGGTAGGAGGGCAATGAGGTAAAGTGGGTGGGGAGTGTGAAGGTCCGCTTTGTGTAAGCAACAAATTCAACCAGCTAACACTTTTTAAGCAGTTACAACAACAGCTTCTTATGGTCAGTGGTGTCCCAAGGGGGGTGCGGTGCCACCATTGGAGGGATGACATCAGAATTACTGACTGTCATTTTGGTGTCACCCCCTATGAAAAGTTGGGCACTCGGTCACGGACTGAGAGCCCGTCAGTGTCAGGAGAGAGGAGGGGACCCGGCGGGATGAGGTATGTGAACGTCCCATCTTCTCTCTGCCGGCGTCCATCACCAAGATGGCCGCACATGCGCGATGACGTCACGGCGGGGTGTTACCCGGTCTCCGCTCCGAGTGTCACCCAGCCTCGGGACGCCCCCTGCTTATGGTCACTGTCTCTGGACAGCTTGGCCTTGTAAAGGAAGTGAAAAAAGAACAAACAACAACCGGTAATCAAACTATATCACGGCAGGTATTGAAAATAACAATACTAAGGACAGATTGCATCATATATGTAAATGTCTATGTAGCACCAAGCTCCATGTTCCCAATAGTTCGTCTTAGAATGCTCTTGCAACCCAAAAGGACATCACTTCTTATAATTCTAATAATTCAAAACCACCAATAACCATGTGTCAACTTTACCAGAATGTTCAATATCTCAGCGAATATTCCTATTACAACTGTGCCCGCTTCCTCCGTGCTAATAAGACAAACTATCATATTAAACACCCCATTATGCATTAAATCAGCATAACGCCGGGTAATAACGCTTCCCCCCTCCGGTGCAACATTTGCAGATCCTTATAGCTTGGAGGAAGCATCTGAAATGTTTAACCAACAGGCGTGCAGACCCGAGCCGAAAAAAAAATCAAAAAAAAATCGATGTTTGCGTTTTAACCCATTAAACAAAACCTCTTCTGAGACTCTTCAGCTTTAAAATATCACCCAGAGACCAAGCGGGTGGATAGGAAGGGGCTGCTTCTGGTTACCACGGAGACCGGGTTCAAGGTTAAACTACTACCAAATCAGATTCGGTGACAGGCCTCAGCGTCTAACAGCTGTGCTTCTGACTAGAAAAGACGCCACAGGTCAGAGAGCAAACTGATTTTTGGCCCCTTGAGAAAGGGGGGATGTTGTTGTTTCATAAGAAATCCCATTTCAGATCACTGAGAAAGCCGTACACAAGGGGGGGTGGGGGTGGCAGAGGTGCAAAATGGCTTCCTTGCATTAAAAGGCAGGCATGGCGGGGAGAATCACTGCTCTTGTTTTAAGCTTGCTGAGGGGGTGCGGATCCTTATTGCTTGCCCTGCAATATACTAAATTACCCATAATCCACTAGAGCAAAACTATCGGTTGACCAATGTCAACTCGCTTACTAAGGTACACAGCGCTCCTCTCCGTAACATGCTACAGTATAGCGCCACCACTCCAGATCTCTATGGCTTTACATACCAGGCTCTCCTTGTTGGTTCAGGCCAACTGTGGGGTGCATCATATACCCCTCGTCTCTAAGCCCTCATGCAGGGCAAGCCGCACCTCGCATGTAAAGTATGCTGTACAATGAACTTTATTTTTCCAAGTGACATATCCACCCTGCCAGACTCCTCACCTCTCATGTGTTTTACATAACGATAGAAAATAAAAGAAAGTCTTTATGATTAAGCTCCTAACACATCAGACGTGAGGAGTCTGGCAGGGTGGATGTGCCACGTGGAAAAAAAAAGTTTATTATACACCTTAATGCCTGGGTTTTGGCTTCTCCTGTACGATGATTCATAGTCTAAGCCGCACAATACCCTAGCTCCATAAAACGCAAAATACTCCAGCATCATAAAATACACAATAGTTCAACATAACGAGCTGCACAATACTCCAGCACCACGAGCTGCACAATACTCCAGCACCATGAGCTGCACAATACTCCAGCACCATGAGCTGCACAATACTCCAGCACCATGAGCTGCACAATGTTCCAACGCCATAGGCTGCATCATACTCCAGTGCCATGAGCTGCGCAATACCCCAAGACCACGAGCTGCACAATAACTGAGGACCACAAGCTGCACAATACCCCAACACCACGAGCTGCAAAATACCCCAACACCACGAGTTGCACGATAGCCCAGCACCATGAGCTGCACGATACCCCAGCACCATGAGCTGCGCATACCCCAGCACCAGGAGCTGCACATACCCCAGCACCATGAGCTGCACGATACCCCAGCACCATGAGCTGCGCATACCCCTGCACCATGAGCTGCGCATACCCCAGCACCAGGAGCTGCACATACCCCAGCACCAGGAGCTGCACACACCTCTCATGTGTTTTACATAACGATAGAAAATAAAAGAAAGTCTTTATGATTAAGCTCCTAACACATCAGACGTGAGGAGTCTGGCAGGGTGGATGTGCCACGTGGAAAAAAAAAGTTTATTATACACCTTAATGCCTGGGTTTTGGCTTCTCCTGTACGATGATTCATAGTCTAAGCCGCACAATACCCTAGCTCCATAAAACGCAAAATACTCCAGCATCATAAAATACACAATAGTTCAACATAACGAGCTGCACAATACTCCAGCACCACGAGCTGCACAATACTCCAGCACCATGAGCTGCACAATACTCCAGCACCATGAGCTGCACGATACCCCAGCACCATGAGCTGCAC